AACATGTGTACTAAGTTTCAAGTTGATTGAATTTCAACTTCATCAAAAACTACCTTGACCAAAAACTTTAACCTGCCCACTCGCACTATCATTTTCTATGTTCAGTGGACTGTGAAGTTGGGGTCAAAACTCTAATTTGGCATTAAAATTAGAAAGATCATATCATAGGGAACATGTGTACTAAGTTTCAAGTTGATTGGACTTCAACTTCATCAAAAACTACCTTGATCGAAAACTTAAACCTGAAGCGGGACAGACGGACAGACGGACATACAAATGGACACACAGACCGAAAAACATAATGCCCCTAGGTGGGGCATAAAAAACTAAGTCCATTTATCAGTAAAATATAGAAAAATGAAAATAAATATTACTGTCTTTTGCTCATAAACAAGCTTCTGTATGGCAAGCCGTTCTCGTCCAAACTATATGTTTAAACCATTTTTTCGAAAAAATTACACACTGAGAATTAAAACAAGAGTGCACACACTGAAATGTCTCGCCTTCTTTACTAATCATTGATATGATGTTGATAGTCCTAAATATAAAGCTTTATTACAACTGTCACATAAACTTAACATTAACCAAGTAAACTAAACATTGACCAATGAACCATGAAAATGAGGTCAAGGTCAGATGAACCATGCTAGGCAGGCATGTACAGCTAACAATTCTTCCATACAACAAATATAGTTGACATATTGCATATAGTATTAGAAAAAAAAGACCAAAACTCAAACACTTAACTTTGACCACTGAACCATGAAAATGAGGTCAAGGTCAGATGACACCTGCCAGCTAGACATGTTCACCTTACAATCATTCCATACACCAAATATAGTAGACCTATTGCATACAGTATTAGAAAAAAAGACCAAAACTCAAAAACTTAACTTTGACCACTGAACAATGAAAATGAGGTCAAGGTCAGATGACACCTGCCAGCTAGACATGTACACCTGACAATCATTCCATACACCAAATATAGTAGACCTATTGCATACAGTATAAGAAAAACAGACCAAAACACAAAAACTTAACTATAACCACTCAACCATGAAAATGAGGTCAAGGTCAGATGACATCTGCCAGCTAGACATGTACACCTTACAATCATTCCATACACCAAATATAGTAGACCTATTGCATACAGTATAAGAAAAACAGACCAAAGCACAAAAACTTAACTATAACCACTGAACCATGAAAATGAGGTCAAGGTCAGATGACACCTGCCAGTTGGACATGTACACCTTACAGTCCTTCCATACACTGAATATACGAGACCTATTGCTTATAATATCTGAGATATGGACTTGACCACCAAAACTTAACCTTGTTCACTGATCCATGAAATGAGGTCGAGGTCAAGTGAAAACTGTCTGACGGGCATGCGGACCTTGCAAGGTACGCACATACCAAATATAGTTATCCTATTACTTATAATAAGAGAGAATTTAACATTACAAAAAATCTTAACTTTTTTTTCAAGTAGTCACTGAACCATGAAAATGAGGTCAAGGACATTGGACATGTGACTGACGGAAACTTTGTAACATGAGGCATCCATATACAAAGTATGAAGCATCCAGGTCTTCCACCTTCTAAATTATAAAGCTTTTAAGAAGTTAGCTAACGCCGCCGCCGCATCACTATCCCTATATCGAGCTTTCTGCGACAGGCTCGACAAAAATCACACTGAGATTTAAGATTACCTAAAATAACACACTGAGAAATCAAAACTACACACTGAGATTTAAAACTAGAGGCTCTAAAGAGCCTGTGTCGCTCACCTTGGTCTATGTGCATATTAAACAATGGACACAGATGGATTCATGATAAAATTGTGTTTTGGTGATGGTGATGTGTTTGTAGATCTTACTTTACTGAACATTCTTGCTCCTTACTATTATCTCTATCTATAATGAACTTGGCCCAGTAGTTACAGTGGAAAATATTTTGTAAAAATTTACAAAAATTTACAAAATTTATGAAAATTGTAAAAAATTGACTATAAAGGGCAATAACTCCTTAAGGGGTCAATTGACAATTTTGGTCATGTCGACTTATTTGTAGATCTAACTTTGCTGTACATTATTGCTGTTTACAGTTTCTCTATCTATAATAATATTCAAGATAATAACCAAAAGCTGAAAAATTTTCTTAAAATTACCAATTCAGGGGCAGCAACCCAACAACATGTTGCCTGATTGGTCTGAAAATTTCAGGGCAGATAGATCTTGACCTAATGAACAATTTTATACCATCAGATTTGCTCTAAATGCTTTGGTTTCAGAGATATGAGCCAAAAACTGCATTTTACCCTATGTATTATTTTTTTGCCATGTCGGCCATCTTGGTTTGCGGGCAGGGTCATCGGACACATTTTTTAAACAAGATACCCTAATGATGATTGTGGACAATTTTGGTTAAATTTGTCTTAGTAGTTTCAGAGGAGAAGATTTTTGTAAAAGATTACAAAAATTTACTAAAAATGGTTAAAAATTGACTATAAAGGGCAATAACTCCTTAAGGGGTCAACTGACCATTTTGGTCAAGTTGACTTATTTGTAGATCATACTTTGCTGAACATTATTGCTGTTTACAGTTTATCTCTATCTATAATAATATTCAAGATAATAACCAAAAACGGTAAAATTTCCTTAAAATTACCAATTCAGGGGCAGCAACCCAACAACGGGTTGTCCGATTCATCTGAAAATTTCAGGGCAGATAGATCTTGACCTGATAAACAATTTTACCCCACGTCAGATTTGCTCTAAATGCTTTGGTTTCAGAGATATAAGCCAAAATCTACATTTTACCCCTATGATCTATTTTTAGCCATGGCGGCCATCTTGGTTGGTTGGCGGGGTCATCGGACACATTTTTTAAACTAGATACCCCAATGATGATTGTGGCCAAGTTTGGTCAAATTTGGCCCATTAGTTTCAGAGGAGAAGATTTTTGTAAAAGTTTACGGACGATGGACGACGGACGACGGACGCAAAGTGATGAGAAAAGCTCACTTGACCTTTCAGGTCAGGTGAGCTAAAAATGAAAAACACACACTGAGAATTTAAAATTACACACTGAGTTTTAAAAAGACACACTGAGATGAAATAAATTGAAAAACTGAGAATTGTTAGTTACACAATGAGATTTCAAAAATACACACTGAGACTAATATGCAAATTGCTAATGAATATTCATGAGATGAATAATTCAACAGATCAATATCTTGGTCTTCCGAACTCTTGTCTTTATAATGAAATGAGGTTCCTACAACCAACATTCATAATAAATTTCAAGACTTAACAACTTTTTTTGCTAACCCATATTCCTAAGTTTGTTGCAGGGCTGGGCAATACTCCTAGAAACGGGTAATACTGGGCAATACTGGGTAATATGATTTTTCAAGCTTATTTTTACACAAAATAGTAAAGACTTGTTGTAGTTTAATAGTATTATGTACAACTAAATAAATACATTTATTCAGATAACCATTGAGAGTCATTCCTGAAGTTTGTAAATTCAAGTTCTTCCTTTTCTCCACTAATTCTATGTAGGCAGAATACAAGATTTGGACATTTCAGGATACCTTGTTAATTTCCAACCCTGGTTTGTTGCCTATAATTCAGATTATTACTAACAGTATATCGGGATTTTATGCTTTAAACTGTTTAAGCAAGGTCCCTTATCAAAAGTCTTTCAACTGTTACCCTGATTTCGCAAGGTAATCTTTTATATTTTTGTTGTTTATATGCTATGATAGGCACTTGGGAAAAAAATTCACTGCATTGTTTGTCTTTTTGCAGATTGTTCCAATGTTTTCTTATAATTTTAATAAAGTTTTTCACCATTTGGTTATATTTTGTAATGAGAGTAAGTGGGTATTTTTCTTGGTCTATTGGTCTTTAGTAACGTAGTTTTTCTATACGTTGTATTTTTAATGTTTTTTATAAAACATTTAGCCCAAAATTGAAGGACTAACAAGTTCTGTCCCCTAGTTGTTTTAAGCTTGTAATAGATTCAGATTAAGTATGCTAATTAGATATGAGCACATAAAAAGTGAACACAAATCTCAGTGTGTAATTTTAAATTCTCAGTGTTTAATTTCAAATTCTCAGTGTGTAATTTCAAATTCTCTCAGTGTGTGTTTTTCAGTTTATTTCATCTCAGTGTGTGTTTAATTTCAAATTCTCAGTGTGTAATTTCAAATTCTCTCAGTGTGTGTTTTTCAGTTTATTTCATCTCAGTGTGTGTTTTTGAAATCTCATTGTGTAATTTTCAATTCTCAGTGTGTAATTTTCAATTCTCAGTGTGTGTTTTTCATTTTTTGTAATCTGAGTGTGTTTTTATGAATTCTCAGAGTGTGTTTTTAGGTTTTTTAATCTCAGTGTATTTTTTTTAAATTCTCAGTGTGTAAATTTTTCGAAAAATGGATTAAACATAGTTTTGACGAGAACAGCTTGCCATACTTCTGTCCAAATTTCATAAAATTTCATGTAGATTTGACAAAGAAATGGATGACCGAAAAAACTTTAACCTCAGACAAAACCTGAGTGTTATATATAAGTTTTAAAAAAACTAAGTCCATTTATTAGTAAAATACAGAAAAATGAAAATAAATATTTTCAAAATTTTGCTCTGGATACTGTATTTTGTTCATAAATAAGCTTTTGTCCAAACTTCATAAAATTTCATGTAGGTTTGACAAAGTTCTAGATGACTACAAAAACTTTAACCACAGACTGAACCTAAATGTTGAAGACGACGGAATCAAGGATTGCTATGTCTCGCTTTTTCGAAATATATTTTGCAGGCTCGTATTACACACATCTTACAATCTTTTTTTGTAAAAATACCTGAACTTCAAGAAATAATATAAATGGTATGTCTGGTATTATTATGACTGTGTGGAAACATCTTATTGTATAAAATAAGCCGTTGTAAGATGAAAGCAAAAATTCTGATGACAATAATCAAAAAGAGGAAAATTCTTTATATATTTATTGTTTTATGATCCATTGGTAAAAATATCTTTTAGAATGCATAATTACATAGTTTTATCCAATATATGATATTTACAGTGTAAAAAAAGTGAGAAATTTCTAACATGGTATACAATTATAGTGGAATGTTTAACATAAATATATAAAATGTTGAGGAAAAATACAGGTGAATGAAAAATTTGTTAAATGGTGGAAAGTAGATCTTAGACAAGAGCGACATGAAAACAAATAGTTACTGTTGCTGCATGGTTATTACATCTGAAAATGTTCTATTATTTTGTTATATATTTTGCTTTAAATTTTCATTTTTAAAAACTGCAATAAAATTTTATTTATGTTGTTCAAACTTGAAACTCTTTTAATGGCTGTGAATGTTGTGAGTTATTTGTTTGAATCTTGCATATACTGTAAATTCAGAAATTATTGCATGCACTTATTTTTGCGACTTTTGAAGAATGGACAAAAATGTGAGATTAATTATTGCGATTTCAGGAAAATCTGCATACAAATATTATTTTATATGTATGGAATTCAGAATGCGAGTTTTTATAATTGTGACACTCACACAGTTGCATTATTCGTTTTAATAAAAACCTAGCAATAATTCGTGAATTTAAAGTATAACTTTGTTTTGAAAATAATATATATGCCCTTAATATATCAAAGGTAACACTAATTCACCACAAAAATTTACAATAATGATACTATTAGAAGTTCTCTGATCACACACAAATTAATACAAAATTATGTTTACCACAAAAACAAATTAACATTCTGGTTTGCATTATTAATATCTTGCTTAATTGTCCTTAAAATTCTTAACTTTGAAAGCTCAACTGGCTATTTTCATTAATTTAACACTTATAAACATCATAAACCATTTAAGAAAACTAGAGATGGTAAGCCAAGCACACCTCCCCACATAAAAAAATGAATAAGACTACGGTTTGCTTTAGGAAACCCCCAATAACAATGCAGATCAAAAATCAAAATAAAAGGTGAACAATGATATTATATGGTTCAGATTCTGAAAAAGTTTCAATAAATTCTAATTTCTAATAGGGTTTTTTTTAGGAGTTCTGGATACAAAATGGTATCACCCAGATAATGCAATGGCAAAGTCCATGATATGCTAAGGGAAACCCCAAAAATAATTCGAATCAAAATGCAAAACAGTATGTTCACATTGGCATCTATTTGGTAAATATTCTGAGAAGGTTTCATTTAATTCTGGTACAGGAGATGTGGATCCAAATGTGTACTGTTAGGTGCAGATATGATAAAAGTCAATATCATGTCACTTGTTTCTTTGTTATTACTATATATAAATGTTATAAATTTGTTACAGCTTAACTGATATGAAATATAATCAAACACATATATTGTAAAAATATCAAAATTAATGCCACAATATATTTGCTTGAAATTATATCTGCAGAATGACATAACTCTAGTTACCTCCCTTTAAGAAATTTTAGAAATACTGGTGAATATGGTTAGTTTTTCAATTTGATATTCCACTCACTCAACAATCTTTAATTTTTGAGGAATGGACAAAAATGTGAGATTAATTATTGCCACTTTAGGAAAATCTGTATACAGATATATGTATCAGATATCAGAATGTGAGTTCTTATTATTGCTATACTCACTTGGTCGCCATTATTTGCATTACTAAAAACCTCACAATAACTTCTGAATTTCCAGTATTCATAAGAATACAAAATGGCACTTAATTATATAATTTAAGTATAGCCATAACTCTATGGAATGTTAAATCAATATCAACACATAATTTTATACAGTAATTATACCTTCGATTAAAAGCATGTTAAACATTACTGTTAAAGAATATGTGAAAACTAGAGCCTTCTGTCAAATGACTAGCAAGTTTCATCTTTACAAGAGTTAACAGAATTATGGCTACTCTTAAAGCAAATTTACTATATACAATATATATACAGTTATCTTTTGATATGTATAAAATCCATTTACAAAAATGTACATGCAACAATTCTTAATATGACTATACGAAAGATTCACTTTTTTTGTCAGATCCATTTGCCCCAGACATTGGTTGTGCAGGCATAGGTGGAGGTGGGAAGACTGATCCAGAGCTTGAAATACTGGGAGCATTGTCTCTTGAAGACACATGTGATCTTGGTGGTCCTGAATAATAACTTGGTTGTGGCATCCTTTGTGGTGCAGGGTAAACTGATTTCATTGGTGGCAGGTAAGCTGAGCCACTAGCTTGACTTGGAGCCACCTTTTCTTCAAATTCCATACCGTCTGGTTCTTTCTTGTCTGGCTTTTTCCTTATATCTGTGGCTTTAATAAACATGATCATTCCTGCAAATGCTGACGCAAAGCCACTCATGACATTACATCCGAAAGAAAATGAAAGATAATTCAGCCAAGGTCTTGGCATCCATGATCCATCTCTAGATTTCTCAGCAAAAACGAGGGAAACAATTAACACCAAACCACCTGAAAATGTAACACCACCTTGTATAAATTCAAATGAATCTTTTCATTCATGGTAGCTATAGGAGAAATTTAAATGTCAAATGTGATGTCTTAACTCCTTTACTTAAGGGGTTGAATTCTAAGTATTGCATTCTATACATTTAACCATAGAAAATCATTACAGGCAACCATTATTATGCAGTTGAAGAAAAAACTTCTGATCCTTCATTTTCAAACTTGTACCATTTTATTCTGTGTATTTTTTTTATTATTATATTTATTCTTTTGCAATAAGAAAACATTTTTTTTCACTCATGTCTTTGACTCTTTTTTGGTCTATTCTTGATCATGAGCGCTACTTTTTCATTTGGAATACTACATCTATATACATGTTCACTTCTTGGATTACTACAATAAAATACATGTACATGTACAATTAATCATACCAAATACATGTATGAAACAAATTGTTTCTTTAAAGACCTGAATATTTATTCAATCATTTTACACCTTTATTTGAGAACTGTGTTGTTGCAAAAACTAATTATGGTTTGGGATGCTTCACTCTAATTGATATTTTGTTTGTTCTCTACCATAATAATTATGGGATGTGCAATATAACCTTACCTTTCTTTGTATTTGAAGAGGGAAAACTCAGTTTAATGATTAAAAAAAGACATTAAGAATTTTGAAAAAAACATTTTGAGAGGAAGCTTTCATTGGACTATTTCAGAAACAAAGGAAATATTTGGGTGACAAATCATGTTTTGTTGCAATTGTTATAAAGCAAACTGCCAAAGTCACAGAGAAATCTTTTGCATCATGTTTCATGTATGATGTATAAGACAAAATTGTTGTACAGTTATCTCCCCTTTTAAAATAATTTCTCTTGATTTTTTAATTTCTCTGTACATGTACATGTGTTTAAGGAATGACTGTAATATTGTTTCTGTCTATGAAGAAATAACATCAAAAATGTGGTGCACACTGAATAACCTGCATAGCGGGTTATTTAAAGTGTGCACCACATTTTTTATGTTATTTCGAATAGACAGAAAAAATATAATAGTCATTCCTTATAATTTGATTCTAAATTCCATTTTAAACCGGAGTAAGGGGACGACCATTTGATATTCTGGGGGGGGGGGGGGGGGGGGGGCCAGGAGGATTTGTTTTGGATCGGTTATTTATTTTTGTAAACTAAGAGGACAGATTATCTATTTTCTGCACTATTGAAGCAAGATTTTTCATTTTCATTAAAGCAAGGGACTGATTATTTATTTTCACAACTATATTTATAATATTCGAAAACATACAATTTTTAAATTATTTGTTTATTATAAATAATTCATGTATAGTCAAGTCATTATGTACCATTTAATCAGAATTAATTATTATCCTCTGCAGAAATAAATCTTTTATATCCCCCAATGCATATACATGTATTGCATACATACACAGTATTAAAGTTTCGTTGAAACTAAGGCCCTTCTAAAAGTATTGGCAAACATGTTTCGCCAAGCGGAACGAGGCAAAAATTTTTTTGAAGGGTTTTTGAACCGCTGAAGGCCCAAGAAGCTATAGAACAAATGATGCAAAATCATGCCTTCTGGGTGTTCCCCAGACCCTTTTAATAATTTTATGACAATATTTTGGTCTCAAAGCAAAATCACGTTATAGATTCAGTGTAAGACTTAAGTTTCTAGGAACAACATCAAAAGACAAATATGCATGATATTTAAAGCAAAAATGTAATTCACATAGTTAAGTCTGTGGCTGCTGTGTTTTTTTAAACTCATGATCAAGTTAATAATAAAATTACTAAATTACAAAATGAATGCAACACTAACAGAATACAGTAGGGCAATCAATGAACAAAAGACAAATAAATAAGAAACATTGATCCTGAAAAATCAGGGGCTACGTCTGAGGGAGAACAAAACTTGCTTCTTGCAATGCACTCACGGTGAACACAATTTGATATGGAGACAAGTGTTTGGTTTTGAAATTTCCTACATGAGGGCTAGGCATTTGTCTCAATGTAGTTACGGCCCTGATTTAATAAAAGTGAGGTAAGTGTTCCTGAGACAATTAACCTCAAGTTAAATGAAACCAATTTTCTGACATTTCAAGTATATTTAAATAATATTTATACTTTTATTATTAAAAGATATGGGAAGTGTTTCACGATTTTTTTTTTGGAAAAAAGATGAATTTATGAAGAATCTGGTGCCATCTCATACTTTCGATTAGACCTGCTGAGTTATTTATTTTCAATACATTGCAAGTCAGGTAATTTATTTTCAAACTACCACAGAACAAACCATTTATTTTTGTGATTATCAAGGCTGAGTTATTTATTTTCAAAATCCTCCTGGCCCCCCCCCCCAGAATATCAAATGGTCGTCCCCTAAACCATGAAAAATCGTTGATGACGTCACGGTCACATGACAAAATGATGTCTATGAGCTGATAAACAAAACAACGTCAGCCAATCAGAAGACGAGTTACATCCATAATTAAATTATATTGTAATGTTAAAAAGTTACCATAAGATTATAAATAAAAATATAAACTTATACAAACTGCATATGTCTATTTAACTTTACAACTCTCACTAAAAACATATATGTAATATCAATTATTTGTGGTACCTCAAAAATATACATGAATAATACATGTACAATGCAACTACAGTCTTTTGATTTGTTTATAAAACAAATGTTCATGAAGTAAACTTTTCTACAACGTCGATTGAAAAAGTACAATAAATTTATAAATAAGCCATGACTTTTCTTTACAACAGAAATATCTCCTTTTTTTTATGTTCCTACATTGTAGATACTGTATAACAGTACCCTGTAGTTCCAACTGAAAGACTATTTTTACATTTGCACACAATATAAATTCTTTTAAATTTAGTCAATGCCAAACTTACCTGCAGCAAACAAAAGAATGCTACTGAGGAAAAATAACTTTGGTCTCCTGTTGTCATAGAAATGTGATCCATACATATCACATATATAAGCTGTTAGAATAGCTAATGCTCCCAAGTTACACAGTAGTGTGAATATTACCAAGGCTTGTACTGCTCTGAACCAGGCTGAAGAAATATAATTAAAAGGGATGCAATTTATTTTAGCAAGTAAAAAAAAATATCATGGTCATAATATTTCTATTCAATTCTTTATTGACAATACAATGCATATTGAAACAATATTAAAACATGCAAAATTTATATGAAAGTCTTATTTATTATCCTAAGCACTAACTTGAACATGCTGAAACCTAAAGACCCTATTTGGAACTTTTATACAATATTAGACAGGTCAGGAATAACCACCAATTGGTGGATTATACCTCAATTGACGTATAATCCACCAATTGACATATATTGGTATAGACCAATTGACGTATAATGCAAGTTTTTTTGTTATAAAATGCTAGTGTGAGATAGGAGCATCATTTTGCAACTTACAACCTATTTTATGACCATTATTGAGTCCTCCAAAAGTTTCAGTTTTGTCAAAGCCTGCTGCATCTCTTGAGAATGCATGTGTACAACAATTCTTTTGTTGAAACATCTGTACTATTGACCATGATTGACTTTTAATAATGAAAGTCAAGTATTAACAAAGAGTTCCATTCACCTGTGGAGTTGTACTCATAATCACATGACTGCAGACAGTATTGATGTCCATTGACAGGTGATTAGTGGTAAATTTGCCAATCAAGAATTGACAAGATAACAATAGAAGAAACTGCAAATACAATTATTGATTAAATGCAATATGTTATGTCACTATACTAAACTAGGAATGTTTGACATGTTTTCATACAATAATATGGTTTTAAGAAAACAATGCTCCATTTTTATTGAATAATTTGCTTTGAAAAACAAAGAATTATACGCCAATTGGTCTATACCATTATATGTCAATTGGTGGATTATACGTCAATTGAGGTATAATCCACCAATTGGTGGTTATTCCTGACCTGTTAGAAAACAACCAAAAAACCTGTGCATAATGTAATGATTGCAATGCTATAGTATGTGCAAAAGACAACAAATGGAAGTTTTTAACGACCTTGACTGGCTATACAGCCCTTGCACGGTCGGATGCGCAAAAGCCACCTGACGAGTTCCCTTTATACAATAACTTACAGAATAAATGGTCATTTCCTGGTTTGGATTTTTTTCAATTATCTCCCTTTAATATTGTTTACCTGGTTTTAACCTTAATTACAGGTAACTTTGACTATCTGTCAAACTTACGTGGCATTATCAAATCATATACATCTTCAAAGAATGTTGAATGTATCCACCAACATCCAACGTAGGATCTCATGGAAGGATCGTAAGGTTTCACCCATCCTGATAAACAAATATGCCACAATCCGACATTCGCCAAGGGACTGTGAACTCGACTCCAAGATTTGTACCAATATGGCGATGCAAAGGCAATGAAAACAAACAAGAAAGCTGCAATTCCTAATACATACGCAGCCCAGAACATCCATCCTCTGGGTCTTCCTACTCCAGCATTGGAATTCGTTCTCCCAGACGCCATTTTTGTTGTGATTCACCTGAGTTCAAAATGTTTTACCTGTATGAACTGGTTTTCGTTTAACCTGTCTTATGGGAGCAATCGGATTTGGGTACCAGATATTTGAAAAAGCCAGGTATAAACAAGTAATAGCTTTTCTAAAGAGCGTGTCGTCTACCAGCCGTTAAAAATTGTCTTTACCTATTTTGTTTCATCCATCCGGAATAGTCCTTTGCATAAAAATGTATTGGAGTTACAAAATATCGACTGGAGGAAATGTCAATACAATTTTAGAGGTTTACATTCACATTTTCTTTTTTGTGGATAATACAAAAACACAAGGGGGTGATTTCTCAATAGCTTGTGTGTTTACCTTTTTCACATTTCCGTAAAGACTTGTAAGTTTTAGGATTTTTGTATTGATCCTTTTTTTTTCATGAAACATTTGATTTGGTGACTTTAATTGGTTGTTTGTTGTTTTTTTTTGTATGATTGTGTTAGACTATTCCATTCTATTTCATCTGTCTCCAATCTAATTAAAATTAAATCTCCACACTCGCCCATTTTTTTGTTTTTGGTTGCTGCGTGGGCGGCGTTGATTTTGTCTTGCTGATCATTTTTCAACTTAAAGTTTCTCTCTATCTATTATAGTTTTCAAGATAAAAGGCAAAAATAAAACAAAATGGTAAAATTTGTTATTTAAGGGCAATAACTATAAGAAGTCGCCTGACAGTTTTGACGTCAATGAACAATTGGTAGAGCTCAACATTCTGAACATTTTTGCCCTGTCAGAATTTCTCTTTCTATAACGGTTTTCAATATAATAGACAAAACTTGCATTTTACCCCTATATTCTATTTTTAGCTATGTCGGCCATCTTGGTTGGTGGGCGGGATCATCGGACACATTTATTAAACTAGATACCCAATGATGATTGTGGCCAAGTGTGGTAAAATTTGGTCCAGTAGTTTAAGAGGAGAAGACTTTTGTAAAAGTTAACGACGACGACAGACGACAACAGACGACGACGGACGCCAAGTGATGGGCCAGAGGAGCTAAAAATGCTCGTCCATCTTGCACGTGTTATCTTTATGTCTTTCATTTTGTGTGTCGTTAATTGGCCCGTTGCTCTTTGTTGTATATCTTACATCTCCTTTTTATTCAAACACAAAAATTTAGCAACACTTTGTAATTATGTTTACTTGCTGTAAAAACTCCTTATGAGGATGAAATACACCGAACCTGTTCCAACGCCCATGTGAGCAACATACCTCTCCCCTCAAAAAGACACCTTTTTTTATAGTCTGTGAGTCCTTTTTTGTTTTCCTCTTTTGGAAATGGTGTTTTTTCGTCATCTGTACATGTACACAATGTCCACCTCAAAACACCAAACACCCCCAGTTTCATGTTCTTCAAAAACAAATATATATTTAGCTTCAACTTTACAGAGATCTTCAAGAATCCGACAAATGGTATTCAGTTTTCATTCACAAAAAACTGAATGTTATACTCACTTGGCTCTGACACAGAACAGCGACAAAGTCCAAACGATGATCTGTTTCATTTTTGGGGTAACTATGTTTTTGAACAGAAGAGTTAAAATGTCAATTCTATCTTTCATTTCTGTTTTTATTCTGATAAATATTTTCGTTTTTGAAGAAAAGCATGTATAACTGCTGGTTCATGCATGTAGAAATATACATATTATTATGTAGTATATGGTTTATAACATAACAAGGGATAACAGGAATCTGCAAATATACCATCGTACATCGTACATCGTACCATCGTACATCGTACATCGTACCATCGTACATCGTACCATCGTACAGAGACCACATCAACCAGAAACAACTCTTTCGAGAAAAAAAATATATACAAACACAAACGAAAGACTCATAGTCAGATAGCCTGACTTATTTCATGCACATACTGTGGTGGGGTTAAACCAGTTTTACGTGCACAAAAAACTTCTCCTCTGTCTATCTTTGTATACGTCATAAAACTAAGGCACATAACAAAAAACCTGCAAACAAAAACAAAACCAGGTAACAAAAATCAGCACATAATTTGGAAAGCATGCAGGTCAAAGACTTTTCTGCTTGTTTTTACAGGAAGCGAGATAAGGTAACTGAAGATACAGCTGTTGGTAGGATACTGCCACTCAAGAAAAACTGTATCAAACCAACATGTGTAGCTACACGTGTCTTAGCTCTATATCTTCCTGTAGTGGCGAGCAAAACAAGAATACAGAATTGACTGCGTTCGAAGTATTTATCAGGTTATATTTTTGCTTACTTGTACAAATTTCTTGAATAATAAAGGATAAATCTAAATATGAAGATATGAAGAAATCATTGGAGTGAATTTATCAAATCAACATGCTAAATTTTGACATTTGCAGAAATGAAGAGAAAAGTAACAAAACAGATTCAAGGTGAAATGAAGAAAACATTCAAAACCTCAGATACAGACAGGGAAAAACTGAAAGAGAAGCAAAAGAATTAAGAGTCGAAGAAAACCGAAGAAAATAAAGTCCAAATGATAAGGAAATAAAGAGAGAAAAATCGATTGTAATATGTAATACAGGATTTCGTCTTATTCTCTAAAGTTTCAAAATATATTTATTTAAAACTACATTCGATGTAAAGTTTGACAATTCGAAAATAATTTTATCTTAGATTTCTGAACTTTACATTTTAATTAAAATTTCAAATTTCAAAACAGTTTTTATAACAATAAGAAGATGTGGTATGATTGCCAATGAGACAACTCTTTACAAGAGACCAAATGACACAGAAATTAACAACTATAGGTCACCGTACGGCCTTCAACAATGAGCAAATTAAACCCATACTGCATGGTCAGCTATAAAAGGCCCCGAAATGACAAATGTAAAACAATTCAACCGAGAAAACTGACGGCCTAATTTATGTACAAAATAATGAACGAAAAACAAATACGATACATAGCAACAAGCGACAACCACTGAATTACAAGCTCTTTACTTGGGACAGGCACATATAGATTGTGGCGGGATTAAACAAATTCGATATTTTAACCAAAGGTCCAAATCCCGTTACTTTAAAGCATCTTTTGGCTTTAAGAATTTGGATATTTTGTTTTGTTTTAAGTTCGAGCAACAAATCGGGAGTCCGGACATAGTCTGTACTCGAGCAAAATTCCAACCAGAATTAAAGTTCCAGTAAAAGATTGAATTAAAACTTAAAAATTCGTTTTAATGGAGATTTTTTGTTGTTTATTATTAACGTTTTTTTTTGGGGGGGAAGGGGGATTGACATCGATTTTCATTTCAAATTTTCAAAGTTTAGTAGAACTTTGAGTAATCTATATGCATAGCCTGTAAAATGGCGCTCAGTTAATTTTTCTGAATCAACATAAATGTTTATTCCTACAAAAACGACATAGCCATTTAAAATAGCATTTTTTTGTTATCTGATTTTTTCTTCCTACCGACCTGATAATTCAGGCCATTTTCAGTTGATTTTTTTACAGTTTGTTACGTCACTGTCCCAGGTTAGAGGGAGTTGAGCGCTCACAATCATTTTTTTTTTAATCCCTCCACACACTTTATGTGCCTGTTCCATGAAAATAGCCTGTAATGCAGTGATTTCTGCAATAATTATTTTTCGTTTATTAATATAGTATAAATCAGGTGGTAGGTTTTCTCTTTTGAATTGTTTCACGTTTTGTCAATTACTTATTTGACAGTATGAGTTTTGATCATTTGTTGAAGTTCATGCAATTGTTTACATATCACTGAGCCAGTCAACACTGAGGTTGTGAGTTCGAATTCCGCACGGTGCAGGTGCACTCGACTCCAATCTTAATTAACTAGGATTGTCCTACCGAAGGTTGTTGGTTCCCTCCGGGCACTCCGGCTTCCTCCACCAATAAAAACTGACTGCCACGAAATAACACAATAGTGTTGAAAGTGGCGTTAAACACCAATCAAGAAATCAATCAATTATTTACATCTTTTGTTCTATGGTTTTCTTAAATACAAGTAGTTGTCTTATTGCTTATATACCAAATCTGCTTATACTAATAATGATCCATCAACTAAGCAAAACATAAAAACATACTTGTTGGTGTGGTTCATAAGTGTTTCTCCTTTCTCGTTTTTTATATAGATTAGACCGTTCGTTTTCCTGTTTGAATTGTTTTACACTAGTCATTTTGGGGCCATTTATAGCCTGCTGTTCGGTGTGAGCTAAGGCTCCGTGTTGAAGGCCGTACTTTGACCTATAATTGTTAACATTTTATTCATTAATTTGTGACTTGGATGGAGAGTTGTCTCATTGGCACTCATACCACATCTTCTTATTTATATTCTGAAGATAATTTGTTATACGACGATAATATAATGCATGGATGGATGGCTTTAGCACAGAAGCACTCAAAGTGATCAGCATATTCCAACCGAATCTTAGTTCTTACAAAAACAGTCTTACAAAATATGCAAAATCTTTTGAATTGTACACCAAGAGCTGTTCACAAAAAGTCCTTTATCTTTTTTATAAAATCTTGGAGGTTTTGAGTTTTTTTTAAGTTAATGGCTCATTTGTATATACCTCACATTTCGTATTCGGTTCACACATACACAAACGGTGTGTGTTTTGTATGTAATATTGTCATTGACAATTATTTAGTAAATAGTTAATATTCAAAATATACACCGTGCTGGAACCTATTGATGAATTTAAAATCACTATAATACTTTATGATAATGTCAAGTATTAAAAAGATATTTTGTGAGTACCGACCATGTGAGACCCTCATGGGTAGTCAAGCTCGTTAACCCCCCCCCCCCCCCCCCTAGTAGTAGTATGTATTTTAAGCCTTTAAGACACGAAGAAACCATTGACGCACCCTTATCCAATGCAGAGCTGCTGGAAAAATGTTCCAAAGAAAGAATCGCGAGATCGACAACCGACTTGAAACATTGAAAACAAGACTACAGAATGTGTTTTTACTGTGATTAATTAGCCAATAGTTGTTACAACATAATCCAACTTAATTCAACTTAATCTAACTTAATCCAACT